GTCTTGGCTAGGCAATTAGTCGGGGGTGCGACAAACTACTGTAATTTACCAATCTTTCAGTGAGTTACGGTAAGGGTTTTGTATTACATAAAACTTTAAATCCCTAGCGAGATCATTGCAAATTTGATAAATTATTCACACTGGCGTATTAAAAACTGCATAATTGCAACAACGCACATGGAATTCATATCACTGGTAAAACAAGTGTGCAAATATTGCACACTTAAGTGTGTAACTGATGATTTTGCACATTTCATGGTGTTTAACTGAGCTGCCCACTTAGTAGTGTGCAAATATTGAACACTAGTTATCAAAACGTAAACAACATCGACTGCCCTGCAGGTCCTCTAAGTCGACAATCCAGAGTTAAATATCTGCAACTGCGGACAAGTTGAGCACTAAAGATGTTAGTAAACTCGCACAGCCGCAGTGCGCTGCTGCTCTGACTACATGCACACACACGTCCTCCCTCTGCGGCTCCCACTCTCAGACTGATGTGATCTTGGTGTCCAGCTGCAAAGTGTGCACTGCTAGCGAGCCCTCAGGTACTTCGAGCGTCCCGGGGCGGCCCCATCTGTCCCCTCTTCTGCTGGCAAGTGGGGGTTCCGTCGATTGCGGACATACCTGGGAGGGCGACGCTCGGGTCTGGTCGATTGCGGACATTGAGGGAAGAAACGGGGCATTATGCGGGAAAAAAGGGAAATTGTCGATGGCGGACATCGCTGGGCTGGCGCGTTGGGTTGCCTACCTCCCCGGCGATTGCTTGCCGGGGACGCTGGGGAAGCGCGCACTGGCGTCTCCCTACTACGGTAAAGAAGGCGGGAAGTGAAACAAACGAGTCTAAATACACACTGTATTGCCATTACGTTAGTAAACATACATTGCGTTATTACGTTGTAAAACATAGTCAAATGCATAGAAGTGCATACTTAAAATACAGTGAACTGTACAGCTAAAATAAAATGAGTGTATACCAACACCCACATAAATACAAATACATAATACAAATACATAAATGACAAAAAGTACATAGCACTGTATGCATACAGTCAATCAACACTGAACACTACACAGTTTAAGATGCCTTAGACATGTAGCCACACAGTTTCACAAATGATAGGAGGTGCCTCCGTCCACTGAGGACTTCCCCCCACGCCTGCTGCCGCCTCGCACTACGCTCACACACTGCTGGTCTCCGCCGCTTCCCTTCACCACACTGAATTGAACGGATCTTGACGTAGGACTGAGCCTGCACTTCCAAAAGGACTTGGAGGCTGGCATGGATGTTTGGATGCCCACTTGCGAATCGACCATTGAAATCGGCGTGAAAGCCTTCAGCCCCGTTGGTTGTGGTGGGTAAGTCTGATGGGTGAGAAGCCCAAATGTCAGGCAGAAACCTACAAAAAATAAAATGAAAATGAAAACGTTGAAGCGAACAGGCATAGGTCTAGGGTCTAGGGATTAGCGCCAGCCCCCAGCCGGGGTTTCCTGGGAAGGAAAAATACCCAACGACGGCGGGCTGTCCAGGCGAATCAAAAGCGTACTGGGGTCGCTCATGTTCGTCTCGGAGCGACCTGAACGCATACTCAGTACGCTCTGTCAGCGCATAGAGCTACCCGCTGACGGACATAGGTCGCTCCGGCGCGAACCTCCGATGATCCTTGGCGATACGTCACTCAGGAGCCTGACGAACCTCGGCGACCAATCGGCGCACCGAGCGCGACCCTCCACGAACCGATAGCATACAGAAAGCATACCAAAAGCATACCAAAAGCAAACAAATCTTTTTGCGTCGGGGAGCCACCTTGATTGTGTATGCACGACCAAGTAGAGGGGTGCAAAATGCACGAAGGTCTGAAATGTTGATGTCCTGGGGTGTCATCGCGTTCTATGTTAAAATACAAGATTTTTGATACCCCTCTCGACTTGATCGGACCACCAGAAAAGGTCCCGCCAGGCTGTCAAAGTTTAACATAGAACTCTTATGGAGAACTAGTCAAAAAAGTGAAATTTCCCGTTTCAGCCTTTCGGTCGCGAAAATTTGGGAAAACTCGACCGGAAATGGAATCTACGCGTGACAATGCATCTGGAGACGTGTCGAACGTCATATTTCATCAAGGGGTCCCTGAGCTATGACATGGTGATTTCATTGAAAAATGGTCATTTAGCGACAATTTCGCCAAAATTGCCATATCATAGCTGGAAAGGAAAATACCCCGACTACCCGTGGCTCTCCAGGTGGACCGAAAGCGTACTGGGGTCGCTCTGTTAGTCTCGGAGCGACTCGAAAACATACTCAGGTCGCTCGTCCGCGCATGGAGCGACTTGATGACGGACAAAGGTCGCTCCGGCGCGAACCTCCGGCGAATCTTGGCGATACGTCACCCAGGAGCCTGACGAACCTCGGCGACCCATCGGCGCACCAAGCGCGACCCTCCGCGAACCGATAGCGTACCGAAAGCATACCAAAAGCAAACAAATCTTTTTGCGTCGGGCGACGC